TGCCAGGTGACCCGCCGCCTCCCTCAGCCTCTGAGTGCCATTCAGAGGGGGCTTGGCGAGACAAAAAGGTGACGTTCCTGGGTCTGAGAAGTGTACTTTCTAAAGTACAAGCAACAGCACGGGAGCTGAGCCTCCCCTCGGCCTCACAACGATGCAAATCCCAGGTCACGGCTGGGCTGGCCCGGATCTCGGAGCCCCGCCCACCGAGAGGCCCGGTCCCGCTGGGACCCTGCCCAGATTTCTTCCTTGTGGGGGGTGATCTCTCCCCCCACTCAGGGCCCAGATAGTCCCCCACTCGGCCTCCAAAAGCAAGACCGGCACACCCTCTAGTGGTGGTGGGCTGCACACATTGTACACACATACGGATGTACACATGGATACGTGCACACACGTGTACATATATCTACATGCATGCATGTGCACACACAAAAGTGCACACACAGGTGTCTACATGGATACATGCACACATGCACACACATGTACACATGTATCTGTATGCATGCATGTGCACACACAAACATGCATACACGGGTGTACACATGGGTACATGCACACATGTGCATATACCTATGTGTGTGTGCATGTGCGTACACAAATGTGCACACACGTGGATGTACACATGGGTACATGCACACACACATACATATACCTATATGCATGCTTGCATGTGCACACGCGGATATACACATGGATGCATGCTTGTGTTCACACACATGTACATATAAGTATATGTGTGTGTCCACACACAAACGTGCACACACAGCGTACGTGTGTACTTATACCTACGTGCATGTGTACGTGTGCACATGTATACACACACAAACATGCACACATGGATGTACACATGGATGTGTGCACACAAATACACTTGCACACACCTGTACACAGTCCCATACCTATATACATGCATGCACGTGTCTGCACGCAGGTACCCAGATGTGCACACATGCACGTGTGTGTCCCTGTGTCTCTGAGGGCAGTAGCCCGGATGGTCCCACAAAGCTTGTGAGTCCATGACTGAGGACTTGAGGATGGTGTGGAAAAGAGACTTCACGTTCCAATCAGACTTTTCCTCTCCTCTCCGACCAGATCTCCCTCAGCCTCCAGCCTGTGCCCCTCGGTCCTCCGGCCCCTGTGGTGGTGGCCGTGGGAGGTGGGGCGTGAGGTTCGGCGGCTCCCATCCACGTCTGCTCCACCGGCTCCCCGTCCTCCCAGCCGACGGTCAGACAGGCAGAGCCGGGGCGGCAGAGGTCGCGCGGGAAGCCTTACCGAGCGGGACCCTGCCGTGTGCCCTGAGCAAGGCCAGCCGTGGGGGGGGGGGGGACATTGCAGATGTCTCACAATCCCCGGCTCCGTCGTGCACCGGGGAGGAGCCGCCCAGCAACCCGGGGGCGGGGTGGGTGTGGTCCTGCACACCCGCATCCTGCAGGCATCAAGTCACGTGCCCAGTCAAGTGCCAGGCGCCGGCCAAACCCCATTCATTCATTCACTCCTTTTGCTGATACTGAGCGTCCGTGGCATGTCCGACACAGAATGTACCAGAGCTCGGGCACCCGGCCAGCCGTGGGGGGAGATGCAACAGTAAGTTTACAGCCGCCTGGGCACGTGTGGCCATGAGGCAGGACTGGCAGAGGGACGCGGACGCAGCGGGTGGCCCGGCCGCCCCTGCGATGAGGGACACCGTGTGCAGGAAGGGCCCAGGTCCCCCTGCTGATCGTGGGAGGATTCTGCTGAGATTCTGTGCAGCTTGGAAGTCGGTCCTGGGCGGGGGGAAGGAGAGAGTCAGATTAAACGAGAGAACCTTGCAAAGCGAGGCTGCGGAAGTGGGATTCTGTGCCGCAGCCATGGAGGCGCAGCCCGCATGCTGGTGGGGCGGGGCGCACGCAGGGCAGGGGGCAGCTGGAACGAGGCTTAGGAGGGTGGGGATTCGGAACCGCCTGCCCCCTGGTGCCGGCACCGCCTCTGGCGCATCTTGACGGTGTCCTAGTCTCAGCCGAGGCAGCGCTGTGACTGAGCCAGGTGGCCCCTCCGATGGGCAGGAAGGAAGGGGCCCCTGCTGTGCGCACGGCCGCAGGGTCAGGCCTGGGGCACTTCTGCGTGTGCATTGCCCAGGCTGGCGAAGGCGAATCCTGACCGTGCTACAGGCAGCCAGGATGGCGCTGGCCGCGCTTTGTGTGCCGTCCTTTCAGAAAGAAACCCCCAGGTGCCTTCCCTGATGTCGCTGTGTGGGCCCCTTGGCTCCATCTGCATTTCGTGCACAACAAAAGCCAGAAAGCAGTGGCCGGAACCAGGAATCCCTGCCCGGCACGTCCACCTGCCCCTGGGGTGCCCGGTGGTGCCGGCTGTGGGGTGACGCAGGGCCACGTGTTCCCGCTGCTCACGCTGCCTGGGCCGCCTTCTCTCTCTGCCGAGCGCTACGCTCCCCGTTCAGGAGCCATCTCTGATGCACCTCCAAGGGGAAGCCTGTACCCCTTCCTGAGCTCCCTGTGCCAGACACAGAGAGATGTCAGCCTCCTCACGGGGTAGCTGTGGTTCCCCGGACACAAATAACATGTTAGAAAGAGGGAGGGAATGGGGCGCCCGGGTGGCGTAGTTGGTTAAGCGTCCGACTTTCGCTCGGGTCATGATCTCGCGGTTCGTGGGTTCGAGCCCCGCGTCGGGCTCTGTGCTGACGGCCAGCTCAGAGCCTGGAGCCTGTTTCAGTCTGTGACTCCCTCTCTCTCTGACCCTCCCCTGCTCACGCTGTCTCTCTCTCTCCTAGAAATAAATAAAAAACATTTAAAAAAAAAAAGAANGAGCCTGGAGCCTGTTTCAGTCTGTGACTCCCTCTCTCTCTGACCCTCCCCTGCTCACGCTGTCTCTCTCTCTCCTAGAAATAAATAAAAAACATTTAAAAAAAAAAAGAAAGAAAGAGGGAGGGAAGGAGTCAGGATGGATGATGGGGGATAGATGATGGCGGATGGACGGGTGGGTGCAGCGATGAATGGGGGTGTGGGTGGAGGGATGAGTAGATGGATGGGTGGTTGGGCAGATGAGTGGAGGGCTGGATGGATAGATGGATGGAGGGATGGGGTGCGTGGGTGGATGGAAGGAAGGAAGGAAGGAAGGAAGGAAGGCAGGCAGGCAGGCAGCCTGGATGGGTGGATGGAGGGATGGATGGGGGTGTGGAAGAAGGGACGGCTGGGTGGGTGGATAGATGGATGGATCAATGGATAGATGGAGAAATGGATCGTTTATGGATGGATGGATAATGGGTGGGGGATGGATGGGGGATGGGTGTGGAGGGATGGATGGGTAGATGGGTGGGGGGTGGAGGGATGGGTGGATGGATGCCAGAGAGGAAGAAGGGAAGGAAGGACAGGTGCATCTTTTGTGACAAGACCTTGAACGTGGCACAGCACCACATATAATTTATTTCTATTATTTTTTCACGTCTACCTTGGTTGCAAGTTCTACCCATTTTCACAAATGTCAGCTGTTTCAGACATTTATTCAATTTACTTAACAAACACTGATCGAGTGTGTACTGTGTGGCGGGCACCAGGCTGGAGCCCAGGCATCTCACGGATGGGGACCGGGCCCCGTGCCGCCGCCACACCTCTCAGCCCCTCCCCTCATGCCTGCTGCCCTGGAGAGCCTGCCGGGGAGCCCCGACTGTGCCTCCCCACCCCCCCAACTGGTTAGTCCCCTTGAAGGAGTGACCCAGGCGTGCACAGAGGACCGGCTTCCTGCTCCTCCTTGTCACCACCTGAAATGACAGCCAGGGTGAGGAAGTGGGGGGAGCATGGGGGCCAGGAGCCAGCGCACCCCCCACCCCCCACGCCTGACCCTGGAGGGGGCTGGGCCGGACCCCCAGGCCATGGTCACGCGGAGCTGTGGCCTTGCCCCGTGGGAGGATGAGGAAGAGTCTAGGTGGGAAACATTGTGCGGATGCTCCTGAGCCCCCAGGGCCCCCACCCCAGCCCAGGGTCCAGCACGGGCCCAGACTCACTCTTCCCAGCTCCGGGGGAAACCGCCACCCCGTCACCTCCGGGCAGCACATCCTCCTCCAGAAGCCTCCCCTGGTTTCCCCCGCCCTGGCGGTACCCAGCTTATGCTGCCTGGTGTCAGGGCCCAGGGCTGACGCACGTCTCATGTCAAGGGCCAGACGGTGACTATTTCAGGCTTTGCGGCCGGATGATCGCTGTCACAGCCACTCAGCTGTTGTCCTGCAAACACGAGCCACGGACAGTGCGCTACTGAATGGACGTGGCGCTGTGCCAATACAACTTTATTTACAGAAATAAGCGGTGGTCGGGAGAGTTGGCCCGAGGGCTACAGTTTGCCGACCGACTGTATACACTTGTTAGATCCTGTGGTTTCCCTCCAGGCCCCTCAGTGACTCCCAGCTGCCCACAAATAGCCAGACGCCTTATAAGGCTCCAGGGACCTCAGTGCACAAGCCCACCATTCCTCAGCGTGCCGTTGTCACTGATGGTCACGCAGGAACATGTCACGCACCACAGTCGGCCCGGGGGACACGGCGGTGAGTGGGACCGCCGTGGCCTCCCAGAGCTCAGTTTGGCGGCACAACACCAGACGCTCAGAACTCAGTTAGGAGCCGCGGATGCGGAGACCAGTCTGAGGGCGGCTCGCAGAGCCCTGGTCTGTCCGTGGGACACTCCCTCTCTCTGCGAAGTGTCCATCCCTGGCTTCCGGAGCCCCACGCAGCACAGTGCTCTCGGCCCCTGCTCTCCCTTCTGTGTCGGCACCACGGGCGACCCGCACCTCCCGAGGCCGGGGCCGCCGAGACGGAAGCAGCCAGGCCCCCCGTGTCACACTGCGGCCCCAAAGCAAGCAGACGGGGGGGTGGGATTCTGCCACGGGTCAGGAGCCCAGCGCGCCCAGGGCCCCTGCGGGCAGCCACCTGACAGGGACCGGCCGTGGGGAGCGTGCGTGTTGGTGAAGAGGACAAGCTAAAACCCGAACTGACCCTGTTCCCTCCCGCCCTGTCCCTTCAGAAAGTGCAGCAGTACACAGTCATTGTTCAGGCCACAGACATGGAAGGGAACCTCAACTACGGCCTCTCGAACACGGCCACGGCCATCATCACCGTGACCGACGTGAACGACAACCCGCCAGAGTTCACGGCAAGCACGGTGAGTACGCAGCTCGCGGCCGTCAGGCTCCGCTCGTAGCTTCCCCCCCCCCCCCCCCCCCCCCCCAGACTGCGATGGAAGGACGGATGGCGCGGCCACAGCGCCCCGGGCAGCGGGAGGCTGCCGCAGAGGGACGCCGCCCCAGGGTGTGCAGGGGGAGAGAGGCCGGGCTCTGCCTGCGGGGGTGGGTGCAGGATCACGCGCTCCGACCCTGTGCAGCGAGGCCGGCGGTGAGCCACGGCCGATGCCCTGAGAAGTGCCCAGGACAGAGAGGGCTGGACACTGAATCCGGAGTTGCCCGGTGGTGTTTGGGCCCAGGCACTTTGGGAGGCACGTGTGGGGCTGCGTGTGGCCGTGTGTGCAATGCGACCCCCTGGGGGGGTCGGGGGGTCCTCGGCCGGGACAGGCCCGGCCCCGCAAGAGGAGCTCAGCTCCTGTGAGCAGGAAGTCCCGGAGGGTCAGGCAGGGCTGCCCACACCAGGCTGCTCCCGACCCAAGTCACCAAGTGCGCTTGGCAGACATTCACGCATGTCCATCCTGAGTCCAGAGCCCACGAGTCACCGAGACCGGCTGCCCTCCTGTGGGGACCGTCCAAGCGGCAGAGCCCTGGGGTCACAGACTCCACCAGAGCTGCCCCCCAGGAAACCCTCGCGGCTCACTCGCGGCAAATGTGACAGCCCCCTTCTGCGCCACCCAGCCAGCCATCTTCAGGGGCGGCCTCTGCCCTCTCCCCACTCACGACCAACACCCTCCCTGGACGACTGCCCAGGCCCTTGGCGAGGGGACATCACCCTCCCTACAGGTGCCCGTCTCCAGCTCGGCAGGTGCAGGGGCCAGGGTGGCAGGAGGGAGGCTCAGGCCAGCGAGGGCTCCCCAGGCAGTGCTGGCAGGCGGCTGCGGCCCGAGGCCCTCGGGACGGCCCCCGGGAGCCACCTCCTCGGCTGGGCCCAGGCCCCCGGCGGGCCCACAGCAGTAACAGTAACGGTAATGGCGACGGCACAAGCCACGCTGGGAGCCCGCCCCGGCCGGGATCTAGTCCCCCAACCTCGTGAGGGCCAGGCTCCCCCCCGACAACCCCTCAGTGACGGGGGAGGACGTGGAGGCTAAGAGACGCCAGGTCGCTTGCCCAAACCCACACCGCTAACCTGTAAGTGGGAGCAGCTGGGATGGGAGCCCAGAAGCTGCACCTGACGTGCAGCGAGGGGGGAGGGGAGGCCGGTGGGGAGACCGAGAGGAGACCCCTCCTCCCCGAGAGAGCCAGTTCGGCACCAGGAAGACATGTCACAGGCTAGAGTCCGGGAGACGGGAGCCTCCCTGGGGTCTGAGCATCCTCTCATCCTGCTTCCCCGTGCCCCCACGCCCCCAGCACTCCCGTCCCCAATCACAGTCCCAGGTCCCGCACCCCTGCACCCCCCCCAGTTCCTCCATCCCCAGACCTGTCTGGGCAGCCTCTCCGGTGGGGGCGCAGCGCCATCTAGTGGGCAGATGGCAGCATGCACGTGGGGGGCCGGGGGGGGCGGGCTTCAGCTTCCACCTGCTCTCCTGGGCCAGCGGGCAATGGCAGGAAAGGCTCAGGGCCAGGGCCCCAGGGAGTCTGGATGAGGGTGGAGCAGCCCCCAGCGGCCCTGGAAGAATGATGATGCCAGGCTGCAAGCCCCCAGCAGGGCCCGGCGCCGCCTGCCTGTGCCAGCGCAGGATCACAGCGCCCTGAGGAGCAGGCCGCCTCCTCGGGCAACCTTGCAGTGAGGGGTGGAGCAAGAACCAAGCCAGGCATCTGGCATCAACCCCGGCGGCTGTGGGGCAGCAGGGGGCACCTTGGGTTACTCAGAACCCATCTGCCGAGTGAGGGGCCTCAGGTGGTCCAGGCCAAGTGCGCAGGTGAGAGGACACTGGTCCCAGGGTGTCCTGGTCCCAACCTGCAAGTTTTTGTCTGCTGGGGCAGCGGCATCAGTCCTCCTGACCCCCAGGACCCCCAGGACCCCAGAACCCCAGGACCCCCAGGACCCCAGGACCCCCAGAACCCGAGGACCCCCAGAACCCCAGGACCCCCAGGACCCCCAGAACCCCAGGACCCCAGGACCCCAGGACCCCAGGACCCCCAGGGCCCCCAGAACCCCAGGACCCCCAGGACCCCAGGACCCCAGGACCCCCGGGAAACAGCCTCGGGACCTCCATTCTCACCATGGGGCCAGGGCAGGACCCCAAGCCAGCTGTCCCTGGTGGGAGTAAAGGATGTGCTTCTGGGCATGAGCCCCCACACACACCCCCACCGGGTAAGCCTGGGAGGTCAAGGACTCGGCCACCACTGGGCTTGGGGAAAAGCGGGCAGTGAAATGCTGAAGGAGGCATTGCCGGGAGCCGGGGTTTGGCAAAAGCCCCCAGAGCCTGGACAAGATGCTCAGAGCCCCCACCTGCCTCCCAGTCCGCGCTTCCACCCAGGCGCTCTAGAGAAGGTGTGACCACCCAGGGAGGGCAGGCGATGGCACGGACACCAGTGGCTGCGGTGACAGGCAGGAAAGCAGTGCCTCCTGCCCCAAACAGCCCGATTCTGTCTTTTACGCCCAAGAAGCCTGGCCGCTGTCTAATATGCCAGGAGCCAAAGCAGGCACCGCCCATCCGCTCCAGGCAAGAGCCACCGTTGGTCTCCCCCTTCGAGTCCGATCGAGGTCTGGCTCATTGTCCTGAGGTGTGACGGGGATGCGCCATGATGCGCGGATCTTCCGGGAAACGTTCCCTCCAACCAGGAGCCCGTGCCCGTGCCCATCCCCAGAGGCAGCCCCCACCCCTGCATCCCTCGCCCAGGTGACCTCTGCCCATCCTACAGCATCACACGGGTAGAGTCACGAGGAGCACGCGATTCTGTGGAGTCTGCCTTCTTTCATCCACAGAAGGCCCGCAGAGCCCACGTCTGTGGCTGTGCCCGTGCAGGGGGGCAGCCCCCCGCCTTCCTCAGGGTCCCCATTTCCAGCTCAGATCTTCGGGCCGTCCGTGCACGCCCTCTTTTGTTTAATCATTTTCGCTTTTTTAAAGGTTGTTCTGAATGATAGTAACTCAAAAGAGCTGCACTTGCTGTTTCACGGAGGAAAACTGTACTGGTTATAAGGGAAGGGGAATAGAGTGAACTAAACAATGAGAGGAAACATAAGGAAGGAGAGAGAACAGAGAAGAACAGAGAAGGGCTCGTACATCAGATCGGGTGCTCACAACATCCAGCCTCCCGACGGGGAGGCCCCACGGTGAACAGCCCGGTTGGGGTCCTGGGCAGAGCGTCCTCCCCTCGGACAAGCTCTTCCCGCCGGGACAACATCCAGCCTCCCGTGCGTGCTCTCTGGCTAGTCACGAAGTTTGCGCGGGTGCAGCCCCCAGCCAGCGAGGCCTTCTCTGTTTCTCTTACCGAGTCACGATCTTGGGAATCTGGGCGTCTGCACAATCCCCTTCCCTCCCTGATGCAGTCCAGGTGGCCAGCCTGGTCTGGCTCAAGGAGCTGAGGCATGTTAATCCCTCTTGGCCAGTTCTGATTCTGAGACCAGATACGGAGCACAAGCCAGCTAAGCCACCATGACTGTGTGAGGCTCCGGGCAGAAAGGCACCAGTCACACGAACAAGTTCTAGCCAGAGTGGGGACCAGGCCGAGCTTTCCATCAGGTATTTTGCGTACATGGTAGCATAACTGAAAAGGTTCGAAGTGACGCACCATGAGGAAGGCGCCCCTTCCCCTCCCCCGCCGCCGCCTCCGCCTTGCGCTTCCGCTCTGTACCCTGCGTCCTGTGACTTCTGTTCCGTCACTCACAACGTGTCTCAGAGACCCTCCCGTATCCGTGGATTCTGAACAGCCTTGGGATGTTTTCAGTGCTCGCTTGGGAAGAACGTCAAGCTCACGGCAGAGTTGCCAGAGGAGGCAGGAGAAACAGAACAGCCACACGCACTCTGGCCACCGTCGCGTGTCCTCTGTGTCCACGTGCCACAGCTGTGTCTGCAGATCGCTGCCCGGGCCGGGGGAGGGAGCCGTAGTGTCGTGGCTCTCACGCCTAGAAGCTTCTGTGTGTTTCCTTAGAGGTGTTTCCCCGACGTGGCCACGGTGGTCGTGAGATAAACGGCCACTGCCCCGTTTTCCACCAGAGACGACTGCAGCCCAGAGGGCGAGGTTCAGGCGGCCCGAGGCCACACAGCACGACAGTCAAAGCCAGAGCCTGCTCTCTCTGTGCCACTGGCTGCCCTGTCCCCTCCTGAGGTGGAGCACCTTCCGCAGCTGCACAAGGGCCCCGGGCCGCCCCACACCTGCTGCAGGGCAGGCCTGTGGAGGGTCCACCTCCGACCCCCGGCCTAGCTCTGCCAGCCCAAACCCCAGCTTCCCCCTGCACGCAGCCGCACCAAAGCCACCGCCGGTCCCGGGAGGGAATGAGGAGAGGGAGGGCACCGGGAGGGGCCCCCAGGTCCACACACACCTCTGCGAAGCGGGCGCCGCAGGAAGCACACGGAGACCCCAGAGAGGAGGTGCCTCTGACCCCAGACGGTGACCCCATGTCCAGGTGGAGGGCATTGGGCACAGCCTGGCCCGCTGGGGCTGCCCACTGCCCCTCCTGTGCCCCAGGCGGCCCCGGGCCTGGAGCAGGTGTGAGTCAGAAGGTCAAGGCAGGGTGCAGGGCGCCTCGGATGCTGACTCCGCCGTGACAGCACTCTGATGGCGGCCTCACTACTGTCAGATCGAAGGCCACTGATGGGGGGGAGCCAGGTTCTGGCAGGAGTGTGCTAGGTCCCCCCACCCACGTGCTCACATCCAGGCGACTGGGTCACAGGGCCATCACGGGTTAGATTTGGTGGTCAGGGTGGCCTGTGGTGTGTCCCGGGAGACGGGTGACAGGCAGGGCCCAGGACACTGCTTGGCACGGGGGCTGGGGGGTGAGGGGGTGGGGGCCGAGGACCGGCCGCATCCCCGAACAGCCAGGCTATTTTTATCGAGCTTAATCAAGAACAATCAGCAGAAGCTGAGGAGACGAGGG